CGCGGAATGGCTGGTAGTTTTCCAATTGCTGATCTTGATGTTAGCAGCCTGACTCGTAACCACTACCAAAGCTCGCTTAGTTCTGTTAATTTGGGGTGGATGTATTTTTCATCCTAACTCAGGCTGTCTTCAAACCAGGCACCATTTTCAAAGTCTTGAGTCCTCCTGAAGAAATTTAAGTCCTTTCCGTTTTTTTCCGTTCCTGGACCGGAAGTCTCTGCACCAGTCACTGGACTAACAGGGATATCTCTTTATAACCAATACATGAAATAAAATTAACAGAAAAATAGGGAAACAGAACTAGCCAGGACCCAAGCCAATTGGAGTGAGCCCTAAGATTTAAGTGGCTCCTGGGAGTTTAAAATAAAAAGCAGTTTTTCAAATTCTAGCTTCTCTCCCTGGTGTTCTATTTTCTCTCCTTTTCAGAACAGGAAACTTCTCTTATTTCTTATAAACATTTCAAAGACTCCCCCTTATATATTTATCTTGATGGAAAGAATCTTTTCCTTCTAGCTACCACAACTTGGAATAACCCAGGATGCTCGCCCCCCCCCACCCCACCCCCCAGGGACTTGGGTAAAGGCTCAGCGACACCTAAACATAACTGGGCTTCTGGTTCAGCTGGTTGGTGCTACTGATCTAGGCTGACTAGCAGCTAAAAGACTGTCAAGCTTCTCCTGAGATTTTTTATGTGGGTGGGGGACTAGGAGGGTGAAGAGAGAATTTAGGAGATGAATAAGTAAATTCAATGGTTGACGAAGTGTCAGAATTTTCCGCTCAATCTCACCTAATAATTCTAGGCCCGTCATAAATAATGAAGGAGCCTGAGAAATCTATACTCAGAAAAGAAAGCATTACATACGCCCCTCAAGAGCTAGACGGCTATCAAAATATGAAAATTCTCCTTTAAAACCACAACTCCAAAGAAATGGCTTTTCAAGAAGCTAGAGTTAGAAGTCTCTTGTTATGTGCCATCCAGTGGTTTGTGACTCACAGCATCCCTATATAGGGTTTCCAAGGAGCAACTGGTGGGTTTGAAGCAGTCCAGTGCTTATCTTACAGCATTCATGAGGACACCAAGAAGTCTCTACATGGTGTAAATGGTTAATGTGCTCACTCACCTGTTAGCTGCTGGAAATTTGAGTCCCACTAGGAATCCTAGTGTGGTACTATTGGATAAGCTCTGGACTGCTAGCCATAAGGTTGGCAGTTCAAACCCACCAGTCACTCCTCAGAACCCTACACAGGATATCCTCACTATGAGTCGGAACCGAATTGATGCCACTTAACAATAAGAAGTGCGTCAGAAGAAAGACCTGGAGGTCTACTGACAAATCAATCCCTGAAACCCTATGAAGAACAGTTTTACTTTGACACACATGGGTTGCCATGAGTCGACGGCTGACTTGACAACACTGGTTTGGACACAGTTTAGTCCAATAGCACCCAATACATTACATGATCTACCGGTAGAAGGGGAAGAAAGTTCTTCCAGCAACAAAACTGGGTTTTGATTTCTGTGAAGCCCCCAAGTTTTCTCTAGTGGTACTCAGCACACACATTCAACTAGTAGATCTGTGCTTTTTTCATGGAATTCTGGAGATGGGAAAGACCCCTTCCTTGTGTTTGTGAGTCTGCTTTTGTATCCAAGAAAAACACTGTCTCACTCCAGCTTATTAGAAATCTTGCGCTACACTGCCCCAATCTTCCCTCTGCTCAGGCCATGGTTTTGAACTGGGAGCTCACAAGGAAACTGACAGGATTCAGCAGTAGACTCTGACAGTTTCTTAATCATCTACCACCCTGCCACACATGTGAGACTGCCCTTCTAATTGCTCTGGTAGCATAGTGGTTCCAAGTTGAACTGCTAACCTCAAGGTCAACAGTTCGAAACTACCAGCAGTTCTACAGGGAGAAAGATGAGGCTTTCTGCTCCCATAAAGACATACAGTCTCGGAAACCCTATGCAGGGTCACTGTGAGTTGGAACCGACTCCATAGCATACAACCACCTACACAGAATATATCTGTAGGAAGATCTGAGAAGACGACAACAAAACCCAGTTACCGGCTAGTCAATTCTGGTTCATGGCAACCCATGTGTGTCAGCGTGAAACTGTGCCACACAGGGTTTTCAAAGGCTGATTTTTCCAGAGGTAGATGTCCAGGACTTTCTTCCAGGGTACCTCTGTGTGGACTGGATCTCTAACTTCTGGGTTACCAGCTTAACCTTTGTGCCACCCAAGGACTCAGGTATGGTATAGATACGTATATAGTAAGAGCAGCTACAAAAGTGTATAAAATACATACAAACAAGCACAAATTAGCTGTTCTTTTCCCCATCTCCTCCCCCAATTCAGACTGGGAGTTGGCTTTTTTTTTTTTTTAAGGAATGAGACTATAGAGTGGAGTCCATTGAGAGAAGAAATAGAAGTTGTGTAGATACATATGTCAAGTATGCCTTGTGACCAGCCAAGAAGTGACCTGCCGGTCCCTTAAGACCCCATGTCCCCAAGGTATTCCCCTGGCCTCTTCTGGTGATAACTTTAATCTCCTTTACAAGGGACTTGTTTTCCAGTTGGAGGGCTCAGGCTCTCTAACCACATAGTGCAGTGACGGAAAGGGAACCCCATCTGGTGTTGGGGTGTCCAGCTAAAAACAGTTTGCTTTTTTTCCTTTGCCTACAATGCAGATTCCTCTCCCACCCCCTACTCTCACTGCCTGCTCTCAGGATGACTCTTCATTTATCCCAAAGAATGGTTTGAGGAACACAGGACATACACACAGCACCCCAAACTCAATGCCCTATGAACAGAATGCCACTGAGCAGGTTCTTGTTGTGTTGCTAAGGGCTGTCAAGTCGGTTCCGACTCACAGCAACCCTGTATAGGATTTCTGAGGAACAGCCAGCTGGTGAGTTTGAACCACTGAACTTGCAGTTCAAACCAATCTTGTGGTCCAGTGCTTAACCTAGAGTGCCACACCAGAATTCCACTAATAAGTGAATGTGCTCAGCTGCTAACTGAAAGGTTGGAGGTTCGAGTCCACCCAGAGGTACCTAGGAAGAAAGGCCTGGCAATCGATAGCTGGAAAATCAACCAATGTAAACTCAGCCTGATACACATGGGGTCACCAAGAGTGAATTGAGGTTACCACCAGTCTGTGTCAGCTCTACAAAAGGTTACTTCATTTTTTATTTGGTGTTCAGTTTTTAGTTTTGGGTTTTTTGTTGTTTTTGTTCTGGTCAGGTGCCTACTAAAAAGTGGTAGCTCTGACATTAACTAGAACTCCTGCCCTGATCCAGGGAGAAAGTAGCCAGAGAAACTGGAAAGGAAAACAATTAGGAAAAGTTATTGGCGTCAATCAACTTCCAGAGCTGAAACGTGAATGTCATAAACACTAGTTTTAACTTGGGGAGAAAAACAAAAACAAGAAAACTTTTCTCCACTTCTCTGTGACAACTCCATACATATGAAGAGAAGAGAGCTGTCTCAAGAGAAAGACAATTTGCAGGCATTGCTCAAGGACAAATAACCACAGAATTCCTCTCCAGCAAACTCTCTTCTGTCCTCAAAACATACACTTCTAGTCTCAGAGCACTTGGCCTACAGAGGCGGCCTGGAGGGCATCACCAGGCAGCAGAAGGAACCACACCTGCAGGGCTCCGTGCTGACTCACCTTACAGCCAGCAGTTCTGTCTTCATCCCCCAGCTCACACCCCAGGAAGGCTCCAGCTGCCCTCCAGGACACTGGTTTCACAGGGGAAGAGTTAGGGAATCTCTGGATGGTGTAAACAATGTATGCATTCCACTGTTAACCAAAAAGATGAAAAGTTCAATTCCCCCAGAGGTGCATCAGAAGGAAGGTCTGGTGACCAAGTTCTGAAAAATCAGCTATTGGAAACCCTATGGAGCCCAGTTCTATCCTGAAACCCTGAAGTGGCCAATAGCTAAATAATTCTATGAAACTGCAATTTTTTTTGGGGGGTGGGGGTAGGCAGAGCACAGTTCTAGTGCTCAATGTATATTTGCTTGTACATTTGCTGCACTGGAAGAGAGATACCAAACACACAGAATTCCAAGAGTCAAAAGACTAAGGAGTATGTGCACTGGGCAGGGCTTCCTAGAGGTCGTCCCCCCTGGAGGAAGGAGACCGAGAGAAACCGTAGGAAGCCTAGGCAGGGGATGATCGTCCTCGGGGCTCAGTGAAGATAGACCGTCCAGAGGACGCAGGAAAAGCCAGGGCCGGATAGGCCAGAGAGCCTGGTTCCAAACCTGCGCATAGCTTAGCCATGTGAGGTCCAGCCTACCTGAAACTCAAGACAGCTGGCCTATCTCACTGAAGATCAACTTTGTTCTTTTTCTTTCTTTGTACCATAAGGGCCGTTGCGGGCGAACTGGGGAGCCGAGGTAAAAAACCGGTTCATTCTGCAACAGGAATTGACTAGGTGCATCCGGTTCACGGTCAGCCATTAGTTTATGAGCTTTTCGGGACCTTTTAAATTCATACTCCTAAATGAAGCACCTTTCACCAAATCCCAAGAGGCTGGCGGCCACAGAACGCCCTAGAAAAACCCGGATTACCCCAAATTGGAAATACAATCTCCGCTCCAATTCCCCCGAACCCGTACGTATGGCCCAGCGCTGGGCCTCACACCTTCCCAACACCAGTCCGCCCCAGTCTTCAAACACCAGGCCCACGAAAGCCCACAGCCAAGGACCCCGACGAACGGTGGTGTGAGCACACTTTGGTTTTTAGGTGGTCCTGCGTCGGCCGTTTTAATGACTCGCTTAAGTTAAGTAGACATTTTCCCTTTCACCTGGGAGAGGCACTGAACGAGCAGGACGTAAAGTCCCGCCACGTGGCTCCCCCTCGGGCGACTGAGTCCCCCAGAGCCGGGTCAGCCTGGAGGGGGATGCGGAGGAAGGCCTGGCCAGGCCAACTTTCCAAACTTGGCTCTGGGAGCCTGCCCCGCGCACGCAGGGTTCCAGCCGCTCTTACCTGGCTTGGAGAGTGGCGCTTGCAGCGCCCGGGGCTGCGGCTCCGCGGTCCAACGTAGCGCGGCGGCGGCCGCCAACTCGGCTGTAGGACGCGGCGGTGGCGGCTGCGACTGCTGCGAGGTTGGCGGTGGCGGCGGGTTGGCGGCTGCATCGCCCGGCGCCGGGGGCCCAGGCAGGGCTCGCAGCGAGTCGGGGATGAGACTCTCCAGACTCTCGTTGGCCTGTTGCCGGCGCAGCGCCACCTGCGCCGCCATGACCCGCTGGCGTTCGATGATGAGGATGCACTTCTCGCAGGTACAGTCCTTGAAGCGGCAGTAGCGCTTGTGGCCCTTGAGCCAGGACAACACGCCGTGGTTGCGGCAGCGCGCGCACTTAGGCGTGCGCTGCAGGGGCGCCCGCGGCGGCTGCGCCACCGGGCCGCCCATGTACAGGTAGGGGGAGCCGTAACCGTTCATGCCCCGGGCGCCCGATCCGGCTGGCGACGGGCGCGGGTCCAGGGGCTCGGGGCGGCTCGGCGGGAGGCCGGGTCGGGGGCGG